CTATCAAATATTTAATACAGCAATAACCTGTGCTTATAGACGCACTATAGTCAGAAAGTACACGTTCGTTGTCAGAGACCTGCCCAACGCCGCCGGTGTAACCTCACGAGCATTATTTACCCTTACATATTCTAAACATATCAAAACTCTTTTGGTCATTCGTTAAACGAGGCGTATTTATAAAAAAAAACCACTTGACGTTTCTTTCTTGGAACATTAGAATTTGATTCCCAAGGATATTTAGAATAAATCTTTTAATCAAAATCGCTTCGGCATAAATTAATTTTCATGCATTCCCAAAGACCTTAAACAAAAATAAAAGAGCACCTCCATCCTATAAACATTTTTAATTTAAACTTCACTTCATTGAAACGAATATTTACGATAAAATGGTAATGGTTATCAAATTAGTTTAACAGGCCGTTTTTAGCTAATTCTCGACACTTCCCAAAATGTTTATTCAAGTTTAAACGTAGCTCTCTCGGTGAATATTGTACGAAATTGCACAGGGCGTATATCAAAATTTAAGTTAGACAATACTGAATGCAATGCACGTAGTTTAGGTGTAATAGCTCTTTTAGTTTTTAAGTTAAAATAAATGAAACAAGTTAATTTTTTTTTGCGCCACCCGGTATATATATATATATATATATATATATATATATATATATATATATATATATATATATATATATATATATATATATATATATATATATATATACGCGAGGCGCAGTCGAGCGTTTTATGTCTGATAAAACACGACAACGAGTGTTTTGAATAGCTTAAAATACGACTACAAAAGAATACTAATTAGGATGAACCATTATGTAATCATATACTAATTAGGATGAACAATTATATAATGCCTCATGCTTTATCTTAAAGTCACTCCACGTGACATATTATGGCTGACATGATTTGCCACAAGGTTTATGAATTATTAATGAGTATTTTAAATATATTTCAAAAACTCATTAATAATTCATGAGGAAAACACAAAGAGAAATCATAAGCGTGACGTGTCTTTATATGTGATAAAACACGCTTCAAATTTAAACTTGTATTTTCTCAGCTAATACAAAGTTATTTTGGAAAATTATTTCGCCAATGCCGTGATCTAACTGAGACGTTTTTGAAGCTGTTTAATAAACTCGTAGTTCATGTTTTATCACACTCCGATAAAACACTCCTATACTCGTTTATGCAGTACATAATATATATATATATATATATATATATATATATATATATATATATATATATATATATATATATATATATATATATATATATATATATATATACAAATGTTGTGGTTTCCCACGTTTACGATTCCACTCGTGTAACGTTATGTAGCGGTTTTTGAGTTGTTTTCAGACGAGTGTATACCAAACCGAGCAAGCAGAAAATTCTACTTGACCGCGGCTGGGATTCGAACCCGCGACCTTCGCATTTCTAGAACGATGCTCTACCGTCTGAGCTACAAGGTCAAGCTGAGAACGACTTCTTAAGTTTACCTTGCAGCTCAGACGGTAGAGCATCGTTCTAGAAATGCGAAGGTCGCGGGTTCGAATCCCAGCCGCGGTCAAGTAGAATTTTCTGCTTGCCCGGTTTGGTATACACTCGTCTGAAAACAACTCAAAAACCGATATATATATATATATATATATATATATATATATATATATATATATATATATATATATATATATATATATATATATATATATATATATATATATATACATATATATATGTTAATCACCGTAGGTAAGTATTTTTTAGTGAACAGAAAAAGTTGAGACTGAGTCGGATTCGAACCGGCGACCCCTGGGTTACAAGCCCATCGCTCTACCAACTGAGCTATCAGCCCGATGGTATATTCGAACCCAACCAGTCACAACCATTCCTGCACACCCACATGGCCACTCACCAAAGCCATGCCGAATTTGTATACCATTTCAACAGTAACATGTCTTCTTCAGCCGTATATATGTTAATCATCACGATATGGCATTTATAATTTTTATATATGTTAATCACCGTAGGTAAGTATTTTTTAGTGAACAGGAAAAGTTGCGACTGAGTCGGATTCGAACCGGCGACCTCTGGGTTACAAGCCCATCGCTCTACCAACTGAGCTATCAGCCCGATGGTATATTCGAACCCAACCAGTCACAACCATTCCTGCACACCCACATGGCCACTCACCAAAGCCATGCCGAATTGGTATACCATTTCGACAGTATATGTATATATATATATATATATATATATATATATATATATATATATATATATATATATATATATATATATATATATATATATATATATATATATATATATATATATCCACAGTTGCCGTTGTTTGAGCTTTCCTTGAAGGGCGCTACAATGTCTTTACTTATGTGCTTTATCGTCGTTTTTAAACTGTGAAATGCAGTGAGCGTGCGCATAAAGGCTTAGGCATAATGTGTAGTATATAAAGTTCTGTAGTGTCCCACATCCACCACACTGTCTTCTATAGTATATATATTCTTGGTATGTGGAAGCTCATCATCGGTGCACTGTGCTGACATAGAATAAAGATCCATATAGAAGGGCCACTTACGTCGGAAGCTTTGAAGTTTCTGTCCTCGCGCATGTCGCATTACGCATGTTGGCCGCCATTTTCCTAGCCAGTCAATGACATTTTTTGGCCAATAAACACGCTGTACTGGCTGGCTGCTCCGCCTTCTGGCCAGTAAACTGCATATTTTTGCATAAAAAAACGAGGACACGTTGCACCCCTGAGTGGCCCTTCTATATGGATCTTTATTCTATGGTGCTGATGAGCCCCAAAAAGGGCGAAACAGCTGTCCACAGTTGCCGTTGTTTGAGCTTTCCTTGAAGGGCGCTACAATGTCTTTACTTATTTGCTTTATCGCCGTTTTTAAACTGTGAAATGCAGTGAGCGTGCGCATAAAGGCTTAGGCATAATGTGTAGTATATATATATATATATAGCAACTCAAATAAACAGGCATTTTAGGATAGTTTTGACAATTTAATGGGCGATTCCAGCTATAGATTAAATTAAGAAGAACGAAATCCAACACCACAGCTAGAAAGAGCGTCTTAGAATGAGTAAAACTGCAAAGATTGGTTTCTAAATGTTCATCTAAAAATGGTTATTTTTCCCGCGCGTAATAGTGGTCAACAGCACTGGGCATGAACAGCACTGGTCAACAGCGCTGGTCAACAGTAGTGGTCAACAGCGTTATGCAAATATATACAAAATTTTCGAACTTCACAGGGCCATATTTTACAACAATTCGCAACCAAACTTTGCAGTTTTACTCATTTTAAGATGTTCTTTCCAGCTATGGTAATG